ACAATTTAAATTTCGAATAGGTTGACTTGGGACATTTTTTTCGTGGTTTTCGTATTAGACCCGTCGTCCATTTATTTGTAAGTCAATGATTCCAATAATATTCTGTATTTACTGTAATAAAGATTATACCTCTAACAATGGCGTGCTGTTGTTCCATTCTGTGGTGATGTGGGGAAAAACACCATAACCCAAGAAAGAAACTCAAGAATTAAATTTCATCGTTAATTAAATATTCAATAAGTAATTTTGCAATTTTCGTAAATTATAGCAAAGCTCAAGTTAACTGGTCGTTTTGATGTGAAACAATCAACGACACGCATTGAGGACACCCGTCAATTGTTTCAAATTCGGGCTGATCAATCGGAGGCAGTTGTCACAGTAATGATTTGGCAGAATAGTTTTCGAGCAAATTAAATGACATTTCTCTATTTCTGGTTATATACTCGATGCCACCGTCTTATGATGTAGCCACTTTTAATGTCAATGTAAGGATATTTTTATTTGTTCCCAGGCATCAAGCAAAAAATCACATAGAAAAACACAAAGGACGAACATACACTTGTAAGGAATGTGACGAAGTGTTCAGGTGAGACTAGTATATTTTTTATTATTCTGTAAATAAAACTTGATTGTTTTGTCAAAGCACTCAAAGGTCTACGAGAACTTTAAAAAACATATTTCATAAATTTCTCACAGATGGCGCTACGGCAAAAAGTCATTAAAAACCAAATTCAAAGATCTGCACCAAGCACAAAGAAAAATTCTTATGGTCCGCTAGTTCGTTCTGTAGTTTAGTTTAGGGATGCACATTACGAATCGATTTTTAAAAAGGTTGATTCAACTGTATACGATCTAGCAATTTTTTGTATCGATTCCTTTCAAATGTGATTTTTAAGTAAATCGATTCAGCATTAAGGCGAATTGAATCATCTATATCGCTATCACAATTTAAACAAAACTGTCCCTTTCTGAACCCCTATTTTATATTGGCCTGCAAGAAAAGCAATTTGAGAACATCTAAGTACATACAATAAGTCTACAATATTTGGCGATTGTCGCTACTTTTGTGCCATCTGAACGTCTTTTCTCATTGGCTGGTATCACTCTAAATGGAAGTCGTAACCGACTGAAGCCAAAAAGGCTGCCAAAATTATTTTTTTTATCGAAATTAATTATGATACGATTATTATGAGATCGATTGAAGGGATCAGATCTGTTGATCGATTCAGAGGCATTACGATCCAAAAATCGATTCAAAGTAAAAAATCGTGCATTCCAAGTTCAGTTGGGACAGCGTCAGCCACAGTATGCTGAAATTGCTGGTTTGAATCCAGCCGAATCGAAGGAATTTTTCTTGGTGTTCGATCTTTGTATTACTAATTATAAAGAAACAATAATAATCTCAGTACAAAGTTATAAAAAAACTGACTTCAAAAGTCATTCATCCCCTTGTTTGTCACTCTTAGAGATGTAATATTTTCATCAAATTTAAATGGGACCACTTCTGAGATACCCTCTTTCCACGCCTTGACGTCGAGTTGCGGACACCACCCGTTACACCAAGTACCCTCTTTTCAACAAAAAAAGAATCGTCAAAATCGGTTCACAAATTTATCGCGTAACATACATAGGAAAAAAACACACAGTCGAATTGAGAACCTCCTCCTTTTTCGGTATTCTGCTTAAAATTAGAAAAATGCATAAAATTTACGACACTCTCATTTAGTTATTTCGTCTCGTTTAGATGACCTCGGTCCCGGGTATTCATTCCCAGTAGGACCAATTTTGGAAGCGAATATTTCTTAATTGGTTCTGGTCTGGGTGTAGTGCCTCAAAGTGAGTTTACTAGCTCTGGTACTCATTATGAATTCCCTAGTTTAAGATCAGGTCATTGGTGTTATTATCATTCAATCGCGTAAAGTCGTTTCTATGCCAACGCTCAGTTAATTAATGCCATTTAGGCTCAACTGACACTGGCGCAGAATCGAAGCGTCGCGTCCCGTCCTGTTTTTCAATTACAACGCTGCGACTCGCGTTGTTGCGCGACCTAGCTCGCATTAGTGCGCCCGGATCACAGCGTGGTCGGCGTCAGACGCTTCACTGCGCTCAAGTGATCCATCCAAGCGTCGACGCCCGTTTCCGTATTTGCATAACACAAATTTGTACCTTAATAATGGGAAAATTGAGATGATTATACTATAGGCAAAAACATGACGCGTCGCGACGCTTCGCCTCTGCGCCAGTGTGAGTTGAGTCTTAACCTTAGTGTGTCGGTAGCATAAGAGTGCAATGTTAAAGTTTTTTTAATTACACTTCTGTGCATTTAACGTAAAACGTTGTTATATTTCGTAGTCCGACGTGGGTAGTGCCAAGTGAAACGCTTGCTAGTTGGAAACACACTCCTTTATTTGACAACCGTCAAATCTTATATACCGGTGGGAAGCACCGAGCATAATATGACACATGCTATGTAGGTATGCATACACAACAAACGTATATACATATTTCCAGAATGCCGAATACACTGTTAATGCATATGCGTGTAAAACATCCCACTGAATGCGTGTGCGGCCTCTGCGGGAGCACATTTGCAACTACACGGGGGCTGTCCGTACACAATATGTCGCAACACAGGCAGGTAAGTTACTTTAAATGCTATAGTATAATTTAACCGTCATGATCATTAACGCAAGTATAAAATAATAACGACATATACGAAAATAAACGGGCACGTATGAAGACATTGGTGCGAGTTGGAGGAGGCGAAGGAAATTTGTTAGGACCGTAACGAATACAAACGAGTGGCGACGCGTCCATATAACTCGATTCCCACCGGCTTGCCTAAAACTTTTCAATACACAATTTACTACATATAGGGTTGAAATACTTGTTATTGAATATCATGTCGTTTTACTACCATAATTTCCATAATTACATTTTTTTTGTGAAAATCTCCATTCTTTTGTTATTATTATACATATAAAAATCATCACACACAAACAAAAACATCTTGTTATTCAATAAGTAAAAATTGCAATTGTTACAGCGACATCTCTTGTCAGTTTCTGGTAGCTGCAAAAGTACCTGGCTGATTGAGTAACTAAATAACTTTCTTAAAGGTGATGAAATGATGGCGTAAAAGCCCTTCAAATCTCTTACAAAGATTTATAACAAACACTAAGAAATTCGTAAAGTCTGCTGACCTTGTTAAAAATCGTCTTGTGTGGTTTATTGAGATTAACCGAAAGTTGACTGACAGTCAGTTTGGATTTCGGAAGGAAAAACTACATTAGACAGTATCAGTATTTTCACCACTGATATTCGAACAGCCTCCTCCTGCAACAAGCTTGTAGCTGAATTGGTTAAGAGAGGTGTCCCCGACATGGCAACAGACACTGGTTCGAAGTCAGTCATATGGTTCAAATTAATACTTTTCACGTTCAAGTTAATTATGGCATTAATTAAATTTTTATTGCATTGATATTCAATTATTTTTTGTGAAATTACTCCACTAGTTTGTTATAATTATTAATACAAAGATCGAACACTCAGAAAAAATTCCTTCGATCCGGTCGGATTCGAAACGACGTCTTCTTGCATACCGTGCCAGACGCTATACCAACTAAGCCACGGAACGAACCAACGGACCTCACGAATTTTTCTATGTGCTTGCGTCGTGTCTTTGTACTTGGTCTTTCAACTACTAATTATCTTTTAACTTACTAATTATGGCATTGTTAATATAACCAAAGTTCTGTTTGTCAGGAAACCAACGAAGGAAACGGTCCAAATTGTGAAGTATGTGGAGTGAAATTCGCTACAGTAATCGCTTGGAAAAAACATTTGGTGCTATCTTCTAAACATGAAGTGAGGTAGGTGTAATTGTGGTAATATGTAGTAGCACAGAACAATAAATACAGTAGAAGAGCTTAGTTTGCATGACACGTGTGCCAACAATACGCGAAGTTCCACATACTTAAGCTCATTCCGCCTTACATTTTCGCTTTGTACGTTATAATTTATCGGGCGCAAAACATCGACAATTCTAGAAAAATACTTTGGAGTGCAAAAATGTCAAAGTCGCATTTGTAATATTACCTATGGTGCTGTTTCATATCATTGTTAAGTCTTATTTAATTTTAATAAATTTTCAATTTTCTGTTTATCGTAATAATTTTTTTGTTACAAGAAACGAACGTAAATCTTATACGGCTGCAATATGATCGCTTCTTTTTTGGAGAAGTAAGTAAACATCTCGAATTTGTCGTCATTCAGCTATTAACCGCTAGATGGTAGCACATTGCATAAAATTTCAATATAGAATCAAAACGTCGAAACTTACAATAATTAATAGGTAACTTTCACAGTCCAGAATTAAAGGTTTAAATAGTCCAGGTTTTTTTTTTATTTTCAAATTTCAAATTACGACCAATCATTATCAAGATTTCGTAATGTTTCAAATTATGAAGTGAGTTTTGGCGACAGCAGTTCTGATAGTAATCGAGGCATAAGGCTATTGTTTTTTTCTTCCGTGGTTAGCAGTAATAAAATTAAAAAAATTAAAAAATTAAAATCTTTTATTTTCAGACACCATAGGTCCATAGTTTGTTAGTAAGCAACCTTATACTATATTAGTAACAAATGACTACGGTGAATTTATTTATACATTAAAGTTTTAAAATTAAAATTAAAATTTGCAGTGTTTATATAATAAAGTAATATGTCAGACTTATTCGCGGCGCAGTGTCAGTTTGGTACTATTTAAATTCTAAGATAGCTATTTAACACATGGAAGCAACTTTTTTTTTTTACAGTGCTTCATTTTTCTCAATGTCCCTCGGCAATCATCGGATTTCCGAATATTAATTTACATGCCCATTAATTATTAGATTTAGAATCTATAATTGGTAATTTGAATTTTGAACAACGTACTGTTGCTCAAATTGCTGTTTTGTTTTGATGTCCGTGTGAATTGTATAGAGCTGTAAAACTATTTCTCTATTTTTACTAACATTTACTCCATGTCAGTAAGCGAGGTAACAATTATGTATTGTTCTTTTCGTGCCTTTTTAGGTGACTGAAAAGGAACCGATTTAACTTTTTTTTATCATATTCTTTTAAAATATTCTTTACTGTGCCGATTGAAACACCAGTAGCTACAGAAACACGTTTTTGGACCTTTAGAAAATAACCATTGTTGTCTTTCTTGAATGTACCTGCTTCTTGTAAAATATATAAGTGTACGCTGTAAATTATCTGCCGTGCTTTACTTTAGCGGCTTTCCTCACATTGTATAATAAATAAAAAATGTAATAGCAACTCTAGAACGGTTCCCATGTTGGACTGCCACGCAGATGACCCGGGTTCGATTTCCGGACCGATAGAAATATTTGTATAGCCTACATTTATATCTCTTATGAGTTTGGGTGTAATTTGTGGTTGTGCTATATGTGTGTCCATGGCACCCGCGATACAGGGTTTCCCCTATGCGGGGCTATGAGTGTGTGCGCGTTATTAAGTCGACTGACGCGAAGTTTGCCGAGGGACATTCAGAAAATAGGAGCACTGTTTTTTTTACTCTTCATTCTGAATGTTGTTCCAGCAACGGCTGTGAGTTTTGCGGCGAGACGTTCGCTGACGAGGCCAGCCTCAAGCTGCATTTGAAGAAGCACGCTCGCAAACAAAGCGGGCGAGTGCCTCCGGTGCAAATACCTTCCAAGTGTGTTATTGTAAGTAGACACATAACTTTATAATAAATATCTTCTTCTCAAACATGCTTGGAAATGTTTGCATTACTTTCATAAAACGAACATGGAAAGTTGGTCATTTATGAACCGTGCGACTTTTTCCCGGCCAAGGCCTGCAAAAGTAAGTATAAAAATCCATTACTGCCCACTGTTCGTAATTGCGAGAATTAAACATAGCCTGTACCGTTTACTTAAAAATTAAAAAAATGTGGTAGACTAAAGTGATTTGGTATTATTTTCTGATTTTTCGTCGTCTTCGTATTTTCGCCGCGAAACTTAGTTAAGATGAGAAGAGCGATAACGAAAATACAGTAATGGATAGTACTCTGTCTTAAATTAGTAAGAGGCAATATTAACCATGAAAAACTGTTTGGCGGGTTTGAGCAAAGTAAGCTAGATACATGAAAACTTATGAAATTTCATGCACTGGAGAACCATACGAACCGCAATATCAGAAGTTTACCAGACTACTATCAACGTGCCTGGAAAACACACTTTAGATATTAATTAATATCTTTTTACCTATATATATATATATATATATATAAATAAAGCTACAAATCCTGACTCACTTAGAAAAATAGAACTCATTCTTCCCGATATGGTGGAAAAAACATATTTATACCGTAGTACGCGGATAGGCTCCAAGGCAAAGAATCAAATATGAGAAGACCTGATTGTGGAAAATGTAAACGAGTGATCAACGGCCTGCAAAAACTGTAATATATGGGGGGATATTTGTGCACTTTTATAAGATACACCTTGGTCAATTTCTGCAGAAAGTAAAAAAATGTTCGAAATTCAAATAAACAAGACGGCCGCCATACAAATTTCGTAGCTTTCTATCACGGAAACTATTAGAGATAGGTAGGAGGTGCTGGAAGGAATGTCATAGAGGGCAATAGTGGTCAACTGACTGTGTAAAAAAAATCAAGACGGCGAATCCAAAATGACGGCCGGAGAAAAACTTGCTTCGATGCGGCTGAAAATTGGCATGCGGGGATCCTTAATCATATTTGGGGTCAAATGTTGTTTTCGCCATTTTTAATATACCATACAAGTCTTTTTTTCGTTAAAAATAGCTGCCGAAAGAGACTCGTTCTGTTTCAGCTGAAAATTGTCATGTGGAGGCCTCTAGAAGTGCCGGACAATAATTTGTGTTTGAAATTGGTTTTTCGCCATTTTCAAATATGGCCGCACTACCAGCGTTTGTTGGCTCTAAAAAAAAATTGTTCTGATTCCTTCAAAAATTGTGATGTGGGGGTCTCTTGGAGTGCTTGATAATAATTTGTGATCAACACTAGTTTGTCGCCATTTTTCAATATGGCTGCCATAGAAGAATTTTTTTGCGGCAGATGAAAATTTGCTCTAATTCAATTGAAAATCGGCATGGGGGTCTCTAAGGGTGTTTAATAATAATTTGTGGTCAAAATTTATTTTTCGTCATTTTTCAATATGGCTGCCTTATAGACTTTGTTTAGCGGTTGATAAAAATTTTGTTCTAATTCTGCTGAAAATCACCACGTGGGGTTCTCTTTGAGTGTTTAATAATAATTTGCAGTCAAAATTAACTTTTTGCCATTTGTCAATATGGCCGCCATTAAAGAGCTATTGTTAATTTTTTTTAAGTCATAAGTGCCGAGGCCGTAGGCCGAGGTTCAGCGGAGGGAAGCCCGAAGCGTCCGCACGCCACTTTACGTAGGTAGTATACGGAGACTCTATTACGGGTACAAGATTTCACAATTGTTCAAAATGTAAGGCATACTTCCCGATGTAGTGGAAATAATATCTTATTTCCTTATACAACTTATAGCGTTGTTGTATCTCGACTGTCTCTCTATTAGATTCGTTTTTCTTGGAAGCTATGCCAAAAAAAGAAGTGTTTAGGGGAAAAATGCCAGACAATCACTCCAAATTTCTGGTCTCAAACTAGGGAATTTCCTGTACTATGAGTACCAGAGTATCGGTAATTCTGAGGGCAATACCCAGAATACCCTGACTAGAACCAACTTAAAAATGGTTTTTTCGTAAGTTGGCTCAAATAAGGGATCGAATCTGGAACCTCCTCATCAAGCTCCCGTAACACTAATCACTGTGCCACCGATGAGTATAAGCACACCCTGTAATCTGAAAGCGACCACGTGCCGCAGGCCGAGCCCGACCCCACCGTAAGTGGGGGATAGGGCTCGTTCTATTATACATCTTCCTCTCTTTAGTCTTTTATTATGTCCTTACATTGTTTGAGATAAGTACTATATAAGCCTCGGCGGGAACGGGGATTGCTTGACTTTTTCTTCTTCTTTGTTCCTTTTGTGGTGTCATTTGTGGTATTCAATGTGATGTTTTTGTTCTTGTTTTCTTTCTTTCTTAATGTATGTTTTGTAATCAGTGTGCAGAATGGCTGACGAGTCGAGACCAGTACAAGACTCACATGACGTCATTACATCCGCTCTCCGCTGAAGCAAAGCGGATCGACTTCGTCGAACGGAAGAAGCCGGGCTCCGTCATTTGCGAAGTGTGTGGAAAAATGGTTAAGGTGTGTAGCCTATACCTATTGATAATGCTTATATTTATTATAATTTACTCTTATATCACATTTATCATACCTATTACTGCCACGCAGAGGTCCCGTGTTCGATTCTCAAGCCGGGAGAAATATTTGTATGGCCTATATTTATTTTTCTCGTGAGTTTAGATGTAATTTGTGGTTGTATATGTGTATGTCCATGGCACCTGCGATACACAGTTTCCCTATTGCAGGGTTGTGAGTGTGTGCATTATTATTATTGCCCCTTTAAAACCCTCTAAAACTCAGGCAAAAAGTTTTTGTCCAAATTAATTAAGCCGTTTCAGCAAATTCACGGGTCGAAGCGAGTAAGGTATTTACATCGAGTATGTAATCAAAACTAGAGACGAAATAAGAGCCATCCATCCTTGACAACCCATCAGGCAAATGAACCTTATATCACTTTTAAATATCAACTCTCATTTCTGCTGAAATCACAAATTAGAAAGTTGAAATAGTACAGCGCCAACAACTGACCTGCGTGTGCGTGTCCGTATATTCCAAAAATGTTTTGTATTTATTGTCATAAAGATAATATCTCTAACTATAGGGGTTGTTGCGTTCGGTGGTGTGGAAACAGCAAAACATCTAATTACAAAACAACCGAATCACATTTCATCGTAAGTAATTTTTCAATTTTCGACCATTATAACAAAGCTCATGTTAAGCTGGTCGATTTGAAGTGAAACAAGTAACGACATCCGTCATTGTTTCGAATTTGGGCTGGCCAATCGGAGCTCAGTTGTCATCGAAATGATTTGGCAGAATAGTTTTCAAACAAATTAAATGACATTTCGTCTCTATTTCTGGTTATATACTCGATGGGTATTTATTAAGTAATTATATAATAAAAGGGGTTGGATTCCCGGTTGGACCAAATTGGGAAATGAACTTTTTAGAGTCTGGGTGTTCGAGTAGTGTTATGATAGTTTTGTGACGATGGGACCTCTTTCATCATCATCCCACCTTTTGATCACCCTTTTACTTGACTTTAAAATTTTGAATCGTTTTTAAATTACTTTTCTTTTTGTCACTTACTTTTCTTCTTTCCATCGCCACTCTCTACTAAATTTCCGAAGCGAGCTGACGTGCTCGATTTCATATAAAATTCTGACCAGTTAAATCATGTAACCTAACTGTTTGTAAAGCATAGTATGTCTACAAAATATAGGCCCTTTTGGGGCAATTCCTTTTTTACCCGTTAACCAGAGTCTAATTTAAGTAGGGAGTGTTTTTTGTACCATTATATCTTGTTTATATCATTTTGTTCTGTTACAGCCTTTACGCCTTTACTGAAAATAATAGAACCCTTCCTGTACCTTTGCTTTCTTATTTCTACAATAAAATTCATGTGGTCCGAGCCTTCTATTTAATTACGCGAGGCCGTATCGAATTCGAATTAATTATCGACAAAAATAGGAAACTACCTTTTAAAAAGAATTTTCTTGTTCGGTTATCCCCTTTATTTACATTTTGGACATCTAATTATAATTCGTACTATAATGATTGTTATTTAAAGAAATGTTAACACATTGCAGAGTAAATCGCTTCTAGTGTACCACCAACGCAAACACACAGGCGAGCGGCCGCTGCAGTGCTCCCGCTGCGACAAGCGTTTCGACGCACCCGCGACGCTGCACGCGCACGTGTATGCGCGACATACGAACGTAAACTTGCCCTGCCACATGTGCCACAAACGATTCTCCAACAGGAACGCGCTAGCAAAACACATTAAGGTAATTACGATCTCGATGACCTCGTAGGCGGTGAGTCCCGGGTTCGATTCCCGGTACGACCATTTTTTTTTATAATATCACGAGAACAAGCCGTACACCTGATGGTAAGCTACCTTTTAGTTAGTCTGTCCTAACATGCATTTCGTCGACCATGAGCAGGATGTGTGGCGGCGGTAACAGCCTTCTGAACACCATATCGGAGGATGGAGCGTGTCCGATATTGTGCCATTGGACCAGAATTCATGTCACCAAGAAGGGCTGGTGACATAAATTCTAATTCCGCATGCCTGTTGTTAATTTCTATTATTTATTTTTAAGTATTTCTATTTTAATCATAGATTTAGTATATAGGTATTGAATCAGAAATTTCTGGTTTTAGTACTTTATATTTAATTAATATTGCATTACTGCATTATTTTTTGTCTACATTAAAATGAAAATTTCTTTTAATAGCGTAGTTGAGGCACCCATTTTTTTATGTTAATTAAATTTTTATTGAATTGATATTCAATTATTTTTTGTGAAATTACTCCACTAGTTTGTTATAATTATTAATACAACAATCGAACACTCAGAAAAAATTCCTTCGATCCGGTCGGATTCGAACCGACGTCTTCTTGCATACCGTGCCAGACTCTTTACCAACTAAGCCACGGAACGAACCAACGGACCTCACGAATTTTTCTATGTGCTTGCGTCGTGTCTTAAAGTGTCTTTGTACTTGGTCTTTCAACGACTTTTAATTTTTAAACGATTTTAATTATTGTTGTTGATTCAGATTTCCTGAAGACATTGAAGTACGACAGAAATGGCTTATAATGCTAAGAGACAAGACTGGGTCCCCAAAAAGTTTTGAAAAATATGCAGCAAACACTTTGATGAAAAATGCTTTTCCTTTAGAGGCAAGCAAAGAGTAACGCTACGTTCTGGTTCTGTACCCACATTATTCATGCCGTGTAGTATGTCTTACAATTAATGGATTTTTGTGTAGTACTACTCTCGTCTCGTTGTTAGAGTTCTGTTCTGTTCCGAAATACGATACTCATATAGGATCACTTGTGTGTCCATCTGTCCGTCTATCACAGCCAATTTACTTCAAACCTCCTGGACTGATCATTTTGAAATTTGGTACACATATGCATTTGTGTGACCAAAACGTGTAACGTAAATAAATTAATTCTGAATTTGAAGTCACTATTGGGACGGAAAATTCTGAAGTATATATTTTTTGTAATTTTGAAATATAAATATTTTTAAGTTGTTTAAGAAAATAGACGAAAATTGATCATTCTCCCCTTTATCTTCGAAACTAACTAAGTTTTGAAAAAAATACAGAATTTGTCTTTAAATCTCTCACTATTGTGTGAATAAACCTATATTTGCTGTAGGAATCCGGTGTAATATGTTAATCGATATTAAAGTTAAATCAGTGGATGGCGCAACACTATTTATCTTGCACACATGCACATTATACGCACACAGATGTATTTTTGTTTTGGTCTCGTCTCCAATACTTCAGGGCCAATCTATGGATATACTAAATCTATGATTTTAATTATTTTATTAAGTGTAATTTACTAACATAGTCCTAAGTTTTTAATTGTTACTAACAAAGTGGATCAATGAGCTTAAATAAATTATTATTATTGTGGGAATTTTATAGTGCACCTTAAAATGGGTGTTGATAAAAGCAGTGTGGGCCGCATTGGCAACATACTACCTGTCTATTGTTTGCTAAGGTGGCGACGTATAATTGATGTCGCTTGGCTAAACTCTCCGACAGGCTCCTTGGGACAACGCCGGTGGTGGACAAAAGGAGGGGCACCACATACACCCCTCGCTGCTGCCAGATCTGCCGAATCTCTTCGGCTAGCTGTTCGTACTTTTTCAGCTTTTCCTCGGTGTATCCCTTCAGGTTGTGCGTGTTGGGTATACCGATATCTAGCAGCCATGTCACGCCCCTCGTTCTCTCCACAAGTATAATATCAGGCCTATTATTTGGAATAGGCCTATCCATCAGGACTGATCTGTCCCAATACAGTTAACGCGTGCCATTGTCCAATACTGACTTGGGTTGATAGAGCCAGTAAGGTACACTAGTTTTAGAGATATGCTGTATGGTTTCGGTGGTTTGGTGACATCGTCGATCGATCGATCATCTTCCACTTCCGCCTTCACGTTATACTTCAGGTAATTCCTTGTCGGAACTACTTGGTCTGGATAGCCACCATGAACCTCTCTGTTTCGGCAAAAATGTCTCCACGGCTGAGCCAGCCATTAGAGGCGCAGCGGTCTACATGCGGCAGGCTCAGCTCATGGGCAAACCTACCATGTAAGGGTTTAGATGTCCATTGGTCTAATTTAGCCCGAATATCATCAGTTATTTGAGACTCAGCACTATAGAAGTGGAGAAGATCTAAAGGCGTGTATCCGTTGTCTGCGCCCAGAACAGGTTGATGTAGAGCAGATGACTTCTGGGCGCAGAAATAATTTTGCAAGACCCTTACTTGCTTGGCACATAACCTACCTATATCGATCATGCCTCTTCCACCGACAGATCTCGGCAAAGACACCCGCTCCACCGCCGACTTTGGGTGTTGTGCCCCAGGGCACAACAAACGAACGACGAAATACATTTCGTCAACATCACACGGGTGGCCCTTTTGACGCTCTCATTCTCAGTATTCGGTCATTTGACAACCCCGAAGTGTTAGTCAGAATCGGTGTGACAAAGGTATTGATCGTCTTGAAAAGATTTTTTCCACTGAGACCGGTATGGAGTAAAACGTCAAATCGTCGTCGGATTAGCTCGTAACTTCTTCCTTTTATTTTTCTTTTAATTTCTTTTACAAGAAAGCATGAGGCATACGTGAAATAATAAAAAAATCTCTGCCGTCTCACTCCTTCCCCACCATCATTCTTCCTTTTCATTCTCTCACTCACTCATTCCCCTCCTTCACTCTCGTCATTCACTCTTATTCTAATGCTACATTGCTAATTACATTTCTAAGGCTGCGTTCACCATAAAAATTAGCCTACATAATATGTGTGTCTGTTACTTTTGCTTTACATAACCAACACTTTATTAAAATTCCAGATCCACCTCGGTATACGTCCGTACAAGTGCTCAATCTGCAACAAGGCATTCCCGCACCTCTGCGATGTGAAAGTCCACATGAAACACGCACATTACAAAGTACCATGGCCGAAGAAACGAGATAGAAATAAGCAGAAGACTGAGAATACTGAGACAGAGTGAATCAGCAAATATACCACCTTAACTTACTAAATAACAACTAATCAATAAAAAGTTATAAAATGACATAGTATAATTAGAGCAAGTTGGGCAACTCTTACACTTTGCTTGGAGCGAAGTATTGTCACATTAGTATTGCAGTATTTATTTATTAGCGAACATGCAATAAAATTCCATTACATGTGCCTTGTAAGGGCGTAGCTAAGACTTAAAAATATACTTAGACATGCAAATTATTAAACTTACAAATAATTAATAGTTGAAAATAAATTAAATAATAAAAGTATTAAATTCTCTTAAATAATAAAATATCTTAATAAAGTAATGTAGTAACAATTAAATAATGAATCCATATACTAATTATTATAATTGTAGAGCTTAAAATAGGGGGATTATTATATTAGTTGTAACTAGAGATGGGAAAGTGTCTGGGTTTTAACCCGGTACTTTGTTAACGCCGGGTTAAAATCGTGTTAAAACCCATTAATATCCAAAATCGAGGGCAATAACTATTTAAACTAAATATTTGTTATAGGAAATGTAACTATTTTTCCAGATTTAAATCGCGTATATATTTTTTTTTTCAAACAAACCATGGTCACGGTTGACTGAGTTGGTACAGTCTTCAACCAGTTATGTCTAATATTGATGCAAACCACCCTATTTTTTCACTATAGTTACAATAGTTATTAATTAAATACCTTATTTTTAATTTTACAAAGAAAACATTCCAATTTACGCTACATTCAGTTTTACAAATTATTTTATCAAAGGAATTTTTATTAATTATTAATAGAAATTAGAATAAACTTAAACATATTAATTAGTACTGCAGTCTTATGTCTGTTTGGGATTTTTCATTAGAGGAAATACTGGATCCTAAACTGGCGGTACGGAGAAACCATCTTCCCCGTTGAAATTAGGATGTTTTTTTAATTTCAATGGCCTCTCGCAGCATCCTGGGTAGATAACGGACCTCTTTTGCAAGGACCTGGGGTTTGTCAAACTTCATTGAGTGTGTAGGTTTATCCATGACATGCTCGCAGACTGCAGACTTGTTTACGTGACGGTGTTTGACATCAGTTATATGTTCTTTGACGCGGGTACAAATACTTCGCTTTGTTTGTCCAATATAAGAGAGACCATGGGACCTGTAAATGGCCCGAAACGTCGGTTTGTTTGAAAAAACAAATATACGCGATTTAAATGCGGAAAAATAGTTTCATTTCCTATGTGTAACAATCGCGAACACCTAAGAACTCGATAAATATTTGTTGTAAATACAGTTTTGTTCAAATTTAATGTTAAATGTTTGTTGCTTTCTGATCTAGACTATTCGATTTGCCTTTCTATGGAATCGATATCCTTGAAAATCGCATTGAAATAATTCGATGCAAAAAAACAACTGGAATCGATGTGCACTGGAATCGATTTCCGTAACAATCGAATCGTTATGTGCATCCTTGGTAGTGTGAACCCACAGGATTGGAAGGTGAGTATTGTGTGGAGTTCCCTCGTCTTCGTCTAATTGTACATTATTGCAGAGGCCGGGAAATAAGGGATTGCTGGACGAGTATGAGTTGCAAGGACGAGCACCAGGGAGGCCTTGTATTAATACGAGACAAGCAATCCCCGTTCCCGCCTAGGCATGTATAGAATTTTTCTCAAACTATGTGAGGAAACAATAAAAGACTAAAGAGAGGAAGATGTTTAATAGAAAAAGTTAAAGAAATATATTAATAAGTAATATTTGACGTGTTAGGACAATTACTCTGCCGTTTTAGAATATTGTATTTGTTTAATGATATTTCAGCTGTGCATCGTTAGGGTAAGTTCCAATAATCGAACACGTTAACTAATTTTAACTGTTTTAAAAGAGAATATTGTGCTCTATTTTTTTTTTATTTGGAACGGATATTTGACCATTTGTCACTAAGCCCCGTTCTGGTTAGTGGACGGCAATGCTAAAAGAAAATGTTGTTGTTTTTCCAGTCACATTAATAGTAGTCTGCTGAACTTGTGTTGATTTATTTGAATGTGTATCTATTACTGTATTTTCGTTATCGCTCTACTCACTCACTCATTTCAGCGACCAAAATATAAGACGAAAAAACAAAAGAATATCGAAACACTTTAAATATTACCGCCATTTTTTTAAGTAAGCGGTTTCAAGTAGGTACTTTTAATTCTCGCAACTGTGCACACTGCGCAGTTGGCTGTATGAGTTTTTCTTTTGCCTGTTTACTTAGTGCATTATGAGTAGGTAGATTAAAAGTTTAGAGAAGTGGACAGTAATGGATTTTCATACTCACTTTGCAGTCCTTGGCCGGGAAGAAGTCGCATAGTCCATAAATGACAAACTTTCCGTGTTCGTTTTTTTAAAGTATTGCAAATATTTCCGAGCACGTTTGAGAAAAAAAGATTTGTTACATCGACATTTGTAATAAGTATGGAATTTGCCGTATTCCAGCCCACAATTTTGGGTAGGAATGAATTAAAACCCGCCGCTTTGGGTGAACCCAGTTAAAACACGGCCGGATTGATTGGGTTTTTACCCACTGCCCATCTCTGGTTGTAACTTTCAGGGCTCCAATACCGTTAATAATCATTTCACTTGTCTGTCGATAGAATGTCAGTGGCTTAGTCATCGAGCTACTATTCACTGCCATTGCAATTTTTTGGTGTTCTGCTCTTCAATGGCGAGTCGATGGCACATCTATGGCGTAGTGTATTATTATATATAAAATATGTACATATTTAGTTTGAATACTAAATAAATGACTGATTAAGCGACATAAAAATTAAGATTTGGCATAATAATTTCCATAATAGTTTTAGTAAGGCAACATCGATCGTTAGTAATTGAATGAATATGCCATCACTGCCATTCTACTGAGACTCAACTGCCATTGCAAACTAGATTTTAAAAGAATGCGTATTATGTCAATAACAACAGTCAATTTGTTAACATTCAACAACAACAATCAATGTACACTTCCGGACATAGAATTCGAGCCACCACGCATTTTTAATATTAAGTGCGCTAAGCTTTAAACAATGATTGATCAAAAACTATTATGCAATTTTGAAACTAGTATACTAAACGTCTTTTCCATAAGTCCTTGTTGGGGATTTAGATTTACAAAACCATGGGAAAACTTTTTCTTCGATGATAACACTATTTTTGTATTCTAGCCCTAAAATGTGGGGTGGCTCGAATGTCCGGGAGTATATATACATATAATATTGTACAATTTTGTAATTATTGGAAAGAAGATTTTTCGAATAAATTTTTTTACTGGGAATTGTTCAAATTATTTTCAACCATATCACCTGTAGTTTTCTTTGGGAAGAGTTTGAGAGAGAGAGCACTAGGATGTGCGCAGCCGTTCTGCATAGAGGGCTGTCTGTGATACCTAAATTGAAAAGGTGTTTATTGTATGGACCATGACCCGTTAGGGCGGCAGTTAGAGTGCGAAGCTCTTGCCCTTTGAGTTTAATAAATATGCGAGATAGACTGGCATTGAGCGTTGGGAGTGCTTCCCTCGCCTGTCTACAGGTCGTCCATGCATTATTATGTGACGATTTTGTACCTTTGTGTATAGTTGTTCTGAACCATTGGTAGGGGAGGGATACTATGGGTTCTGGTCCTACAGCGTCCATCTCCGACCCTTTTCTGGCTAGTTCATCTGCCGCATCATTGTGAGCCGCTATGTCCTTTAATCCACTGTAGGGTTACGTGGTTTTGTATACATACCTCCATGAGTACTTGATGGCATTCATAAATGAGCCCTGAGTCTATGTCATAGCTATTCAGTGCTTGTAGCACTGACATACTATCGGAGAGTATTCGAATGGAGTGGTTCTTAATTCTTCTCGCTATGATTGCTTCTGCCGCCAGTTTTATGCCCATGCATTCAGCCTGGAATACTGTGTTGTGGTCACCAAGTGGTGTTGATATCCTGATATTGAGGTCTTCTGAAAATACCCCAGTACCTGTTCCTAAATTCGTTTTAGATCCGTCAGTGAAGACGCGGACCTCTCTGGGGTTCAGTCCTTCATTGGGTTCTTCAAACAATTGTATCTTGTATTTTTTGTCGAAGATGTATTGTTTTGGGATCCTATCCACAGCCGCCTCCAGTAGCGGTTCCTCATTTGAGATATTACAGGGATTCCAAAATGACATACAAATGACGTACATGATACAGATAACCTACTTTGGGCTTATGTGTAATGACTTATTCTTCTCTAAACAGTGGCTAGATATGCGCCACATTATATATAGATAAGAAATAAGTTGTCTTATATTTTATGTAAACAGAATATTTATTATAACCGACTTCAAAAAGGAGGAGGTTCTCAATTCGAATGTATGTTCTTTTTTTCTTTTTTCTTTTTTTTTTTTTGTATGTATGTTACGCGATAACTCCGGTATTTGTGAACCGATTTTCATGATTCTTTTTTTGTTGGAAAGGGGGTACTTCCATAGTGGTCCCATTTCATTTTGAAGGAAATCATCCACCTCTAAGGGTGGCTGTTCACGCATGAAGATTTTTTTTTATAAATAGCGCCTAACTTTAATTTAGGAGCAATTACTTTTAGCAGTTATTTAGTTGATTTTGCTATTTCTCCAATTCAAGGCGTTTTTCCCTCGATATACTTTGAGTAGTGTCGTAGTGAGAACCTATTTTTATTATCTCCAGTATCAAGTCCTGTATAGTGGCGAACTAGGGGATATTTCAATAAAACTTAGCAAATAGACGTAATTCCACATACTTTTGAGGTCGGTTTTTTTGTACTCTGTACTGAGATTATCTTTAATACACTTACAATTTTGTTTTTCGAATATGAATTATTTTTAAAATTTAAAATTTAGATTTGTTAATAATTTATAATTAAGAATGCATTCCAAAAATAAAGTTGTTACTAATAAATAAATAGATTTATTAGTAGATTTTACTTTACTAGTAGATTTAAAAGTAAACTTTATATTATTAGTAACAACTAATAAAGTTTATTTAATAAATAAAGTTTTGAATTATTCTGCGTTCTAACTACTGTTATAATAATCAAACTTAAAAAAATCCAACCAACTTGAAAAACCATAACTGTCTTAATCTTTCCAAAGTGGTTTGCGCCTGATGATAAGTCAAAGTAAAATATTTTTATTCAAAAAGCTCGAGCTCTTACCATCATCAGGTGCAGGGTCTGCTCGTCCCGTTATATCATTACGAGAAATAATAATAATAATTACGCACACACTTAACGTCGCCCCGCACATAGACAACCACAAATTACACCCAAATTCACGAGAGAAATAAATGTAGGCCATACAAATATTTCACCCGGCCCGGGAATCGAACCTGGGACCTCTGCGCTGCAGTTCAGCGTGGTAACCATTCGGCCACGGAGGCAGTTAAATGGAATGATGATGACAAATTGTCTTATACGTTCATCTATTCGAGAAGCTCTGATTTGTCAGATTTCAACAAACGCATTATACGTGTCTATAAAATTTGATTTCCCTCGATTTCCACGGGATCCCTTCATCAAATTCTGACTTGGTGAC